TACCAGACTACCCCCAATCTAGTAAATGCTAGGGCATTCACGAAGGAACGGGATATTTCTAGAAAACGTGGCGTGACACTAGTCACGTGACCTCGCTGACGCAACAATAGTTAATTGTTCGTTAGTTAATTTTCCGTTAAAACTCTTACCGAAGAAACTTTACCGATACAAGTCCTTTCTTAAATAAAACTGGTTTATTCTTTCCGAATACAACTTTACGATACACTTAATTTCAACAGTCGCTCTATAACAAACGCTATAACTCACAACGAACATCTCACGTGCCCAACAATATCCTGTCCGCATACATTCAATTACTCATTACCTTCCGTTGCTTCTTGGCCGGTCTTATATACACAAGACTACCCCAATCTAGTAGTCTCCCGACATTTCATGAAGGTTCGAGAAGGAAGTGGCGTGATACAAGCGTCACGTGACCTGCGTTGTCGTAACAGTGTTTAAAATAAACCAGATTCTATTTGTTGTTGACCACAAAGCTACACAATAGGCTATCTGTGCTGTACCCACCATAGGTACCAAAACCCGATTATTAGCGTGAGAAGTCCACAGACTTACCTCTGAGCCACCAGATAAATTATTAATAATGGTACAGAGTACTGATAAGTAATACATGTTTTAATAATTGCTAATAGTGGTTTTAAATTAAGGTAAATTTAAAAGTGATATGATCAAGACAAAATTGAGAATTTTTTAGTGACTTTAGTACATTCATTAATACATGAAAAATAACTTATTTAGGGACAACAAGGGGCCCATTTGTTGGTATAGGCTACTCCATCCTCTAAACTAAAATATTTTTAAAGAAAACTCAAAGTCAGCCCTTGTCATTCATATAGTTATCAAGCTTTCTCTTAAATTTACTGCCTTCACAGTATCTAAAGGCAACACATTCCAAAGTTCAACCATCTTGTTAGAAAAATAAAATAAAAATGACTTCTACCCTACCAAAATTTATATTTGTGTCCCCTAGTCCTACCATTAAATATGAAAAAAGGACGATGCATCAACTCTATCAATTCCCTTAACAATTTTAAAGTTAAACACCTCAATTAGATCCTCTCTAACTCTTCTTTTTTGAAGAGAAAATTTTAGAGATCTTAACTTTTCCTCATATGGCAACCCCTCCATCCCAGGCACTATTCTAGTAACCCTCCTCTGAACCCTATGGTAAGGAGTCCAATACTCCAAATGTAGCCTAACCAGTGAAATTATAATCTCTTTAGTCTTGTGTTCAAAATTTCTGTAGATACAACCTAAAATCCTATTTGCTCTACCACTAACAACAACACACTAAAACTGATTAACCATTACACCAAGATCCCTTTCTTTCATGACACTGTTAAGGTTATTTCCATCCAAATTATACTTATAATTTAAGTTATGATAACCCACATGCCATTAACTTGCCCAACTCACTAAATGAGAGTAATCAGCTTCAACAAGTAAAAGTTAAACTCCAAGAACAATTAGCTGAAGTGTATGTCTAATAATAACACTTAAAAAAAAAGACAACAATGGTGAATATAACTGGTAAAGTAATTAACACGTGACAGTTTGGAAAAGGTCATGATATTTTGTAAACTTATTAATCCCGTAATCAGCAGGTGGATATATCTGGTGTTGAAAATGTAAAACACTACATTCAGAAGCACTGCAAGTTTTATCATACGTCCATATTTTGTATATAACTGATTGTATCCGTGGTAATGTTAAAAAATTCATGATGAAATTTAGCCTAAATCATTTGACCAAGTCTTGTAACCTAATCTGAAGTTAGTAACTAAAACACTTGACTCGGGTTAATTTGGTACAATTTGTTACGAAGTACTTATACAAAACCAACACACAGTAAATCATAATGACATTTTATTTTTTCAAAAGCACAAATTTATTTCATGATTTTAATTTGAACCAGTAGCTGCTTTAGTTTTGAAGTTAAATAACTTTTATAGGCTGAAATGTAACTGAACACATTAACAAGTACCAATCATAAATTACAAGTAGACATCGGCACGACTCTGCCAATTACGAAAACATCACATAATTGTATAACAGAAGTTTCAGGTCTTAAACATAAGAGTGTCTATCACTTTCCAACGTGAATCAATCGATGTCTTTTTAAATGACCACTTTGATAGAATCTTCGACCACAGACATCACAACAGAAAGGTTTTTCTCCGGTGTGAATCATCTGATGCCTTTTCAAGCTTCTACTATGTGTGAAGTTTTTCCCACATACATCACAACTAAAAGGTTTTTCTCCTAAGTGGATTACCTCGTGTCTTCTCAGATCTCCACTTTTTGTAAAACTTTGACCACAGACATTGCAACAATGCGGTTTCTCTCCTGTATGGACTAAAATGTGTGTTTTTAAGGTTCTATTTTCAATAAATCTTCTGTTACAGATATCACAACTAAAAGGTTTTTCACCTGTATGGATCAATTGGTGCTTTCTTAAATTGCTACTCACAGCAAATCGTCTACCACAGATATCACAACCAAACGGTTTCTCTCCGGTGTGGGTGAGATGATGTTTCTTTAGGCTACCACGTTCAGTAAATCGTCTACCACAGATATCACAGCCGAAAGGTTTTTCACCAGTGTGAGTTAAGTAGTGCTTCTTTAAGCTGCCCTTTTCTACAAATTGTTTACCACAGATAGTACACACAAAAGATCTTTCCTCTGAATGAGTTAACAAGTGGTCAGACAATTTACTAGCAACATCTGTTGCATAATCACAGTGTTGACAGGAATATTCATAATGCTCTAACTTGTGTCTGTGCTGCAATAAAAGCTGCTCTGAGGAAAAACATCTTCCACGTCGATCACACGCGACAGTATTGGTAGCTGTAAATAAAAAATTAAACATACTGATCACCTAAACCATTATAACAAACACCAACATATTTTTAATGGCATTCATTGTATAAAAAACACTTGATATAATTTTTCAGATAGAATTCTCATGTAGACACACAAAAAGAAATAAACTGTTTTAGCCCTATTAGTGTTAAACGAAATTCTGTCCCGGTAAAAATACTTGAGTGATGTTACAATTTTTCTATTTTGTTTTTAGTAATGTTTTTATTTGTAAGTAACAAAAAATGAAACGTTACACGAATAAAAAAAAAGTCAAACATAAAATAAATTCAAATATATATTATTAAATAACAAAATACAGCAATTAAACAAATTCCAAATAACCGAGTCTAATTTTGATTTCCTTATCTCCATATGCAAGGTTCTATTTAGGTATATAGATTTAATTTTTTTAATAACATACGTATTTTCTAAAAACCCTGAATTTACATTTACTTCAAATGTATACCTCTACAAACTATCCAATTTAAACTTATAAATCCACAGTCAAACTGTATAAACTTGTATAAAAATTCAATTTATATATTATTATTCCTCTAATTACACTTGTGATAATTAAGTGACCCTCAGAAACTCTAGGTTAAAACTTGTAAAGGTATGACTTAATGTCTCTAATTTAAAAATATGGTAATCACTGTGATATTAAGGTTTAATAAACTTTATGAATTATTGCTTAGAATGCCATCTCTACATACAAAAAGAGTAAGAATGTAAAACGGGAACAATATTTAAGAACATACGCTCTCTTCCTAAGAGATTTTCTTCTTTACTTATTTCTGGGGTAAGTTCCTCACTTTCTTCTATACAGTATCTATCTTCGTGTTTCGCCGGACACATATATTCATTATCAGGTTCGTCTTTACAGACACTTAAAATATCAGCCGATAAAACCTCAGATACTTCACAGCTCTGAGCAGTAGTTACCTTGACAGTTAACAGGGGGAGAAATTTCATTTTATATTTCCTCTTATTTTGCAAATATCTAATTACGAAATGTTAGAAATAAAAACAGCTGATACTGAAGTGCAAATACAACTTTTTGATATTTATCAAAGTTACTTAAAATGTAGCACTAACGAAGATGAATTCTTAATTTGTTTTCAAGAATTTTTTTACCAAATGAGAAACAAAATATTGTTTACCCCTCCACCATTTTGGTATTCCACATTTAACAAGTTATGTAATAATCAGTCCATAATAACTATAGGTTAGGGAATTTAATTTTAACACAAATTAATTATTTACATGTCCACAAAGTTGGTACAAGACATTATAATACTATACATACTAATTTCATTGGTTTACTAGGTAAAAATTGTACTGTTATTCTTTTTTTTTCATTAATGTAAAAAAAACATTGGTAATAGTTAATATTAAATATATAAATTCTAATTAAATAACTTGTAATTGTAGATGGCGAATGATGATGACAGCAGTTTACACCTCTGGGTATAAATAATTTAAGACATTATGTTAATTACAAAACTTTATAAAAAAAAGTACCGAAACTGTGATACTAACTTCCTAACGTTACCACTCTATTTTGAAATTCAACACGCAGTAAGTTGTTATAATATGCATGAAAAATTACAAAACTCAACTAAGAACAAAACCAAAGACCTGAAATAATTCAGTGTTAATATTTAATGAACAAAAGCAGAACCCCACTCCCTCCAAAAAAAAAAATCATGTTACTGGAAAAACAAGCAAGGACTTAGTAAATTAAAAATTAATATCAAGTTAAAAATATTAGAACACAAGTGTATATAAATCAATAACAAAATCTGTTTGGAAATTATAACCAGTAAAATATCAGTTACCTCTTTAACCCGTGTTACATCTATACTTGATGCAAAATAACCAGGTTGTTTGTTATCTGTCATTAAGAACACTGGTATCTTTATTCTACAACACTATCTGGTACTTGTGTATGTATTTGTTTTCTTTACCTATTTGGAAAGAAAATAAATAATTTTTGCACTGCATCATAGAATAAAATTATGTAAA